AAGGCTGAAAGGTGCTGAAGCCATTATGTAGGGTTCGCAACCCGTGACAATAGGAATGATTGGAAAACCTTAGTAGTAGCTATAGTCTTTTAAGTCTTTATAAATGTCTCTAGTGTTTATGATAGTAAAGTTTGTAGATATAGTGATAGTAAGAGTATGATAGTCTCTTTAGTTATAAAGGCTGATGTAAGAGATATGATTCGAATGTTGACGATAATAATATAAAGTTTTACTAAAGAGAGTCGAATGAAATATATAGATAATAAGACCTTTATATAGGCACTATCGTCTTTTATATATATAAATAAAAGATTATCTTCGACAGTTAGTATAAGATGACTTAATAGCTAAGCCTAAGAATTTTTCCTAGTTAAAGTATGATAGAGTTTATAAAAACTATAGTTAAAGCTATCATACTTAACTAGAGTTATAAGGTAAATAAGGTTTATAACTACTTTAAGTTGGTATCGCTTTTTAGCATTATAGTATATACAGATTAGACTGCTAATATAATATAGCTTCTATATAGGTGGTTGACGGCTTTAGATACTGTCTATGCTAACTTTCAAGGTGAGCGTATAGGCTTATCGCTAAGGATATAGTAGCTGTCAAGGAGATTAAGGCTATGACTGAACGCTTAGTATCGTCAGAGGCAATACTATATAGTATAGTCAAGGCTCTTAAGGCTATAAAACTTTAAAGCTTATTATCATAAAGGTGGTAGCTATGAGAGCTTAAGGCTTTGTCAGTATATGGTAGCTTCTTTATAATTGCTAAAGTACCTATATATTGCTATCATTATTATTATAGTCTCTTTACAACTGTTAAGGACCTTGAGGCTTTTTGTCATGAAAGTTGATTCTGTCAGAAAAGCCTATAAGTAAGCATTAGAAAGAAGACTATTGATTAAGAACATTTTACTATGTTAAATTGGTTACTATAAAGAGAGACAATAGTATTATATCTTATTATATATCTTATAGTATATTAGATAGAGTAATTTAAGCTAAATCTGATCAAATAAATATTAAAATATATATAAAAAGTAAATATTATCTTTTTATTTTTAATAATTATAAAAGCTATTATTTAATAGATTTTAAAGAATATTATAAAAAGAATAATATTATTATACTTTATATATCTTTTTATTTCTTTTATAAACTTTAGCTACTTAATATTAAATATTTTAATATATTAAAGAACTTAACTATATAACATAATTGACAATACTATAAGTTAACCTCCTTAGTACCTATACTTTACCTTACAAAGTATAGAGTCGTTAGTTTAAATCTAGCTATAATCACTTTTCACTTTCTAATTTTTTAAAAAAGTAAAAAGCTAAATAATCTTTCAAAGACTTTATCTATCTTTAAAAAGCTTTTAAAGTCTTATTAAATAGTATTATAAAAGGATAATATCTAATAAAAATAAAGTAGTTAGCTATTAAAGATATATAAAATATTTAGTAAGAAGGGTTTATACTTTAGCTAAAAATAGTATTAAAGAATGTTAAGAAAGTTACTTTATCTTACTAATTAATATAAAATTAGCAACTTACTTTAGAGTTAAATTTAGATAGATTTTATATCTTTTAAAATAACTTAAAAATATTATCTTATAGTTAAGAATAAAAAGAATTATTAAACTTTTTAATAAAAAAAATAGTTGTTAAATTTTAAAGTGTTAAAATTTTATTTATATTAATTAAAAATATTATTTAAAAAAATATATAAAGATAAAGATTAAAGTTTTTTATTTTAAAAAAGGCTTTATAGTTAGAAAGTCTTAGATATTAGTTAGAAGCTTTTAATAAAAAAGGTAGATAGTTAGTTAAAAGCTTTTTAAAGTTAATAGTTAGCTTATAATATCTTTTTAAAAGGTTTTCTTTATAGTCTTACTAGTATAATATATATTATTATAACTATATATTATTATATAAATAATAAATTATTATTATTATATTAAAAAACTTATATAATTAAATAATTAAATAAATAAAGCTATATAATATAATTAGTAACATTATAAGTTAACCTTCTTAATACCTATACTTTACCTTATAAAGTATAAGATTATTGGTTCGAATCTAGCTATAACCATTCTTTACTTTCCAACTTTTTAAAAAGTAAAAAGCTAAATAACTTTCTAAAGACTTTATCTATCTTTAAAAAGCTTTTAAAGTCTTATTAGATAGTATTATAGAAAGATAATATTCAATAAAAGTAGAGTAGTTAGCTATTAAAGGTATATAAAATATTTAGTGAGAAGAGCTTATATTTTAGCTAGAAATAGTGTTGAAAGATATAAGAAAGTTATTTTATCTTATTAATTAATATAAAATTGATAATAATCTATTTTAAAAATAAATTTAAATAAGTTTATTACTTTAAAAATAACTTGATAATACTATTATAGCTAAATTAACATTAATTATAATCTAAAGAAACTTTATTATTTAAAAAAGTTAATTAATTAATAAACTATCTTTTAAAGAGTTAAATTCTATTTATATAAATTAAAGAAACTAACTAAAAGAAATAAAAAGAATACTATAATTAAAGTTTTTCACTTTAAAATAGGCTTTATAGTTAGATGTAACGATCCTTCCTATCAGTACATCAATAGGTAGCTAAGGGTCCT